GCCCATTGGTTGTAGAGTCCTTGTACATGTGTGTGTTAGCATTGGGAAATCAGAATTGTAATAACCTTTAACATAGTAACTAAATATTCCAATGATGATCTGCAGAGAAACCTCAAACCAGAGCTCAAAATAGACACTTATAGCCTGCAGAGTAAGCCTAATTTAGTATTCTCTTGGCGAGAAATAGCTGCCATCTTTGATTTTAATAGCAGTGGATGGCTGGGGAGAGAAAGTAATTTGTACCAAGGGAGTGGGTGACGTTCAAAAATATGGATAGGGGCTGGGGTGGGGGACTTTTCTCACCCTTCCCTACCGTCCACCGTCACCATTCCCTCTGACTCCGAATCAAACATGGCGTCGGATAAACGATCACGAGCTTGTAACGTTAACTTGCCCTCGTGAGACGCCTGCACTGCAGGCTAAGACACTTATTATCCATAAAGTCGAGGCATATTCCATTCTTCCAGTTATACATTCAAAAAATATGTATTTAAGATAATTTTAGACAGTATTTTTCTTATGGTAGACCCGAAGCACTTCAACATGGTAAGTTTCGTACATCACAGCATTGGGAATTCAACTAATGATGGTTAAAGCCTCATATCACCATATAATCGTGTGTGAAAAAAACATGAAACACTAAGAAATCATAAACCAATGCAAACAGTGGTACATCACAACAAATCACTTTTATTTTGTGTTTGATTTTTGTGCCTGAACCGTGGCATAAACCGAGCAACCTGATATAACGGTCTCGGGGGTTCAAAAAATAATACAAACTTAAGATATCACAGAATTCTTCTATAAGGAAATAAAACAGATAAAATATTCGTAACAGACAACATTGGAAAGTACAATTCCTCCCAGTTTTAAACTCTTCTAGCAAGCAAAAACTATGTTTTTTTTTTAAATAGTTCAACGAGCAACACTGGTAGCAAAAATCAGTACTAACAAAAGTACATTGATGTGATGCTCTACGCTTTTCAGGTCGATGAGTATGGTCCTATGGAGAGGAAGTATGACAGACCTAAGATATTACGTGAACTGTAAGAAAATGTTGTGCCATGATAGAAAATATTGGCGCAACAACTTAATTTATCCTTCTAGATGTACCGATATTTGTATATCATGCGTGAAATGTCGCATGCGCAAAATAACTGGATAATCAGTCACTTGCTCAAATAAACAATATGAGCTATCCAAAAAAAAACCTATAGTAATACGCTCATAAGGGTAACTTGTTTGAGCAAGCTCAACTTTCTGAATTGTCTTTTCATTTATATAACCATCACGAGTGGCTTTTCAAAGTCATTATGCTGAAGGACAAAGCGTCCATCGTTGTTTACTGCAAACATTGATTCGAAATACATGGACATCTGAAAGTCAACAATTAGTGGAATCGTGCGCACGCATTCGAAATCTTTGTTGTACATTGAGACTCTTAAAACGGGATCTGGGCCTCTAGACAGGATGAAGAAATGTTCACTCGGCTGGTGAAACTTCATACCTAAGAGATTTGCCTTTTCCTTTAATTTTATTGGTTTTTTTTCATGGTTGGAGTAGCTCTCGATGCTAATTGAGTGAAGAATGGAATCCGTTTTGTCCAGAACGAAAAGACGTCCTTCGCAAGTTGTACAAGAGGTCGCTGAATTGCATAAAACATAGAGCTTTCTGAAAAGTTTTCCACTCTTTGCAAATACGTCCACCCTTAACTCTTGCTTTTTCCTATCCTCATGTCTAGAAAAATATCTTTCTCTCGACACCATGCTCCTATCCTCTGTCATCAAAATCAAAACTTTCCCGCTGCAGTCCACCATCATTGAAAGGATTACATATCCTTTTCCGTTGGTTTTGAAAAGGTGATCCGATTTTGCTTGGCCATCGAACACGTGTACGTGTACGTCATCGACTTTGCGGCGGTAACACATGATGTACATGTTGTCAGCTTGATCAACTGCTACACTGCTACTAAAGGCATCGCATTTTGGGAGAGAAAAGGAATAGAGGAAGTTTCCCCTTCTGTGAAACACTTTAACTGTGCTCCAGTCTCTGACTATAAACTGTCCTTTCGTATTTATAGCGATACTTTTAATCTCTTCTAACTGCTCTTCTTTTTCTCCTTCCTGACCAAATGACCAAGGCTGCACACAATACTGTTCCATGCCCATTTCACGGAGCCCTTCAGCTATTCTTGCGTCGCGCAGTGGATCGATTTTTTCTCCTTCAACCTCAATACATGGCCATATAAACAGCTGTTTGGATTTACCTCCATCTTCTACGAACTCCTGCGTTAGATCGTAAATGATGCGATTCAATTGACAAACCGAAGAAATAACTTCGTTCCGTCGATCCTGGCCAAACTTCGACTTGAATCCTTTCTTAAGCGTTACGCTGAAGTTCTCCTGAACTGCAGACATTGAGTGAAGCTCCTCAAGACAATATCTTAATGAGTCTATGGCGCTCGCTGGATTGTCCACTTGCTCAAAGACAGTCGCCATAATACGAATCGCCATGGCAAGAAGGCGATCAGAGGTGCTTAGGTTTGGGTTGGAAAAGGCTTCAATTGCTTTTTTACGAGCATCTTCGAATCTGCTTTTGGCTTCTTTGATGGCCTTCGTTGCTTCTTCGTTTAAATCGACGACTTGCAAGATTTTGATTTCTTTCGCCAAAGAAACAACGCTGTTTTCGTTAACTTTGATTTCCTTGGTTGCGCCGCCTACCTCAGTTGTAACTTTGTTCCTCTCAGAAGCTCCCCTGCCGTCCGTTTCTCTCAATTCTCTGTCCAGAACCTTGCCAAGATACACAACTCCATCGTTAAAAAAGCTTATACTGGCTGCCAGATCTTTCACTGATATTCCGTCCAACTTCGACTTGATGTCGTCCATGTCTTTAACGATCAACTGGCGTAGTTTAACATCTGCAACGTCGCCATCTTTTAGCTTTTCTGCCGCCAAGGAGCGACCTTTGCTAATTAGCACACCAATGGATGATTTCAACACAACTGTAACGAAGGAAGACATTGCAGTTTGATGACAGAAAACTGATAGCACGATCAGGCGTAAATAAATCACGGAAAAAGTAATAAGCCGCTCGTCACAGATTTGTGCGCTTTCTCCTTGTTGCTAACGGTTACAGCCAAAATACGTCACCGGCTTCGTTCCCATGGATGCCCCCATTATTATGCTTCGAACGCTTTGGCTGGTTGACTTCTTTCCGTTTGTTGCTTTCTCAGCCCGTAGGAAAGACGTGTCGTTCGGTGGAGTAAACCGATCAAGCTGCGCTTTCGCAATGCTGCTCCTTGAACTGGGTAACCCGAAAACACTGACCCCCAGTCCATGGACCCCCTACGGACCTGGTCCACGGACCCCTGTACGGACTAGTCCACGGACCCTCTACGGACCCCTCTTCACGGACCCCCCATGAAAAGACAATAATAACGATGACAACTTATAGAGATTTGAGTTACCGTTGTTTTTTTGTTCGCATTGGCGAAATTTTGAATGTTAACATTCTAAATATTACCGTGGCAATGAAAGGAAAAAAGCAGACTAAAAAGTAAACTGAAAAAAAAGAAAAAAGAAAGGAAAAGACAAAACACATAACTGTCAAATATCGTGATCTCTAATCAGTCTTTGTCTCTTCCAATCGATCTCTAATCAGTCTTCTTTTGGAGCACTCTTTTGCGAAGCCTGGGTCAAGTCAATGAACACACAGGGGTTCGAGCCAAACAAAATGGCGGAGGCAATCAGTGGCCGCGAATGCAGAAGGATCAGTATATACACAAGTTAGCCACGGTTATTTGTCTTTTCCTTTCTTTCTTTCTTTCTTTTTTTTTTTTTTTTTTTTTTTCACTTTTTAGTGGGCTTTTTCCTTTCATTGCCACGGTAGTACTTGGAATATCATGAACATTTAAAATTTCGACACCGCGAACAAAAACAACAATGGTAAGTCAAATCTCTATAAGTTGTCATTGTCATTATTCTCTTTTCAAGGGGGTTCCGTAAAGGGGGATCCGTGGTCCCGGCCCGTAGGGGGTTCATGGACTGGGGGTCAGTGTTTTCGGGTTACCCCCTGGAACTGATGGTGCAAACCAACACCAAGTCAGGAAGGGAAAGCTCGAGGGGTATTACAACCCGGAATCATGCAGTATCAATTTTGTCAAACACCTTTGAAATGATTAATTGAAATTAACTTGATAAAAATGCGTGACGGTGAAATGAAGCTTGGAATTTTAACGTGTTTCAACCAGCTTTAATGAGGGACGGTTTAGTAGTTCTATTTACATGACATACCGGCCGACTAAGAGGAGGTCGGTTTTCACAAATGACCCTGGCGTCCAAGCAAAGCGTATTTATGTCAGGATTCCATCATCTCGGCTTCCATAGTGGAAGTTTACCAATATAACCCTCAATTTATGTAGTTAGGATTTTTTGGTAAAAATCCCTCTATATTCATGATTTCAGTGGTTTTCCATAGCTTTCTCTTGATTACGGTTTTGTATTTCGAATGTTCTAACGTGTCGCTGCTGTCTTCTGTATAGGAGAATCTTGACCTCGGTCGCTGGTACAGACCTCACTGCGTTCGGTCTATACTGGCGACCTCCGTCAAGATTCGCTCATACAGACTTCCCGCTCGGTTAATAAGAACTAAGTATAACAACTGGTACACGACAGTTTCTCGGAAGTAAATTTGTATCAAAGCCACCTGCGAACACGGACATTTCAATCTGACTAAAGTTTCCCGTCCAGACAAGAATGGATAGAATGTTTTTCATCCAAAACAAACTACGCCTTATAATTTTGATACCCAACAAAGGAGGCTTATTCGGGTATGCCTACAACCGTAATGTCGTTATCACTACGGTTAGGAACTGTTCAATGCAATATTTATTTTAATCTGAATGAATTACTGAGGGTTTCCGTTTAAGATATTGTAAGCGTTTCAGCCTGAAAGAATTGCCTACTGTGTAAGCCTTTCAGTTAAGTTATGAGGAAAAAGTAGAGCGTTACTGTGACTTAGATATACAACTGTTCAAAAATAGTACACTGGACTTATAACTATTTCCTTTATTCCATGTTTGACACAACTCTCTTTTAATTATATTAATCCGGGGTAAAGGTATGCTTTAATTTACCTTCCTTTCAACAAAAAGTTCAACTTAAAAATATACGCCAGAAATAAATGGATTTCTATACGAAACAACTATAAAACCCGTTGCTTGTCGAGCCTGGCATGACAATATTACTTAAAACGGAAGGTTTTGGAGGGGCATACTGAGGGAGGAAAGACAAAAGAACTGTTTTGACCATTAATAGAGCAATTCAAAATACCATTTCTTTCAAGTAACCCGCCTAAAATGTACACAGGCCGAACGTAGAAAAAGTTATCGTCCTCTACACGTCGACTCACGAGATTCCCTCCCCTTCCTTTTAAATACACTACGCTGTAACTCTAAAACAGACCCCCTTCCTAGCAGGGTATCCCTATGTGGACAATTTAAGGGAGTCATGTGTCCTCCCTAACCATACTGTCGAGGTCAAGTCAGACAACAAATTCTGTGACTATCTGAACCGCAAGGTTATAAATATAGTCCCTCAAAACAGGCAACACTAACGGATTATTTAAGATTCGATCGTTTAGCTCTGTAAGAAAATCTAAAACGTATATGTTAATAGTATAATGCCCCTCACATGGGCCTTGAAATCCGAGGGCCTCCACTTGTAAAGCCATCCTTTGTGAGGCATCGCACGATACTTAAACCTCATACATCTGATTCAATAGATCTTAAGATACCTCCATATCTGTTCCCGCGTGGAATTTTAGAAGATATCCATGGATTAATATAACCGTTACCATCAACACTTGATAATGATGTATTTGGAGTTATGTTCGGTTCAGTTCTTTCCTGGAGCGGTCCTGAATTGTTCACAACACCAGAAAAAGGTAGCGAACCACTTTGAGCATTTACTGTTCCACTGACGCGAGAATGCACTGAGTTATTGTCACTTAAGGAAGGGTTTGATCCACGTCGCAGAGTGAACCTTCTTTGTTCCAACGTCTCTCTAACTTGATCCAAAACAGAATCAACGTCCATGCTGAGAGCAGTGTAATCTCCCCTTGTAGGTTGCCCCGTAATACCCGGGTATGGCGGCAGCTCGTCATCGTCATCATCATCATCGTGTTCATCGGAAGACAGATGATCTGCTTGACGGGACTGCTGCGGAGTTAATTCAGCCCGGGCCAAAGGGGAAATACCCCGCTGTATAGAAACACTCAGGGTACTTTGTAGTGAACTCGATGGTCTCGGCCGTGGGTTAAAAAGTGGCATTCCCACGGGTGTTCCAATTTTCGGAATAACCATTGGTGATCTATGTCTGTCGAGAGAGCGGCGTGGTGTCGTAGGGGTTGAGACAGGAGACCCCCTTCTTGGGGTCGCTGCCGGAGTATTGGCTAATGATCCTTGACATGGTGTCGGTGGGTACAGCTCTGGGTAGCGCATAACTAAAGAGAATAAACTCGAATTAGGACCTCTTTATTTGATTAGGATAACGGGCCTCCTAGCCCTGTTTCCATCGGGCGAAATTTAAGAAGCAGAGCATTGTAGCCTGAAAGGCTGCTTTCATCTAAAGAAATGCTTCATTTCAGCTCGTCTCGTGGAGAGTAAAACTGAAACAGAACCTTCCAAGCCTAAGGGGTGAAAATGGGGAGCAGAAAAAATCTAATAAAGACATTAAACCCTGCCCTGGGTCAATGGCTGCACGCATGAAATCAGATACAATTGGAATTTTGTGTATTGATTGCCTACCATCTTGTTGCTGAGAGATGCAAAGTTTACTATAAGTTTTCTCTTATAAGTTTTCTTTAGTTCATAAATGTTAGCCTTAGAAAGGACAATGGCCAAATTCTTACCATCGTCATAAGTGGGTGGAGCATTTTGTTGAAAGATGTCATTATCAGAATAAGAGATCTGTCTACCACCACTCTGTGTCAGGCTGCCATGGCGACGCTCCTGTAATCTCCTCTTGGTGTGGCTAAATGTAATGATTGATAGGATTGCAAAGATTGCAGCACATGCCACGCCTATCACAATTCCAGTGTAGTGACGACTAAAGTCAATCATTTCCTCATCTTCTTCCTTTAAAACTACAAAACAATAGAAAGTTAGTTTGACGATAACCATATCACATTGCATCAATAAAAGGCACAAAATGGTCAAACGAACAGTGCATTTTCAAGTTTCGAAGAAAGAACACCCTTTTCAATGGACTAAGTTGAAATCCTTCGTGTACTTAAAGTTCTGAGTCTCTATCATTTCAAAGTCACGTCTAACCTCCTAATGTTACCTCAGGGCCTGTTTACGTTTTGAAAAATTGCGATTTATTTCTGGAGGAAATAAAATTTAGGAGACATCTCAGATGACATCTTTCTGTATGCCAATTGCTGGAGACATAAAACCTTTTTTTGTCTAACACAGAAAAATAGCACAACGTCATTGAAGAAACCCACATATGACACCAAATTCATTGATTGTGTTGATGTCTGTACATACATTTTGTTTTGGGTGTTTTGTGACTCCTGCCATTTTGTTTTGAATTGATTATAAATTTTGAAGAAGTAAAAATGATGGGCTGGTTTTCATATACTAAATTCTGTTCCAGGTTTATATCTGCCTCTGGCTCTTACTCATCATACTAGTAATAATCATATTTTAAGTCAAAATTGAACTAGGTGGATGACTTTAAAATGATTTGGTTACCTTCATCAACTGGAGTTGCTTTGTATGTTGCCATAAAGCCTGAAGCTGAGCCATTCTTGCTGGATTCAAACTCCACCCTCATACCATTTCCAGTAGAAACAATTTCCTCATTCCAGTCTTCTGCCCCTCCACAAAGTGCTTTTAGTTTGTCACACCAGCTGTTGATGCCATCACGGACAATAACATAATCTGGGCAATTTGGCCACTTGGTGTAAGACACTTCCAAAGAAAATTTCCTAATGGTCAAGTACAATCAATAAGATTATTTAATTGGTTGGTTGTAGTAGGGAGGCTATGTGACTAAAAAAATAAGAGCAATAGATTTGAAATCAGGTGCTTCCAAGTTGAAATACTCATTTAAGCTTCTGAACTACATTTGTATCCCACTCCTCCCACATTGAACTTCTCCACTACACTCTGCCACACAAAATTTCAAACCATAGCACCAAGAAAATGGTGGTAAACCAAGCAGTGCTCCCTTAAAGATGTTTCCCATTCTTCTCATTACAACTTCCCTATTTGATAATGTAGGGAGAAATAATTATTAATAATATTGGACATTATTGGAAGTGAGGTTGGTATGTTACGTTCATTGAATAGCACTGGGACCAAACTTATTTATTTAGAATTTGCTGGCTCTCGCTGCCAAAAATACATGTGGCTTATGACTCATGTACTTTACCTACCTTAACTGCAAGCTTATCACATATCCACTGGGAACTTCTATTTCCCACACACATTTTGCATTGTACGGATAACCTTTGGGGTAGCCAGGAGAGTAGAATGTCTCAGACTGTGTAGTCATGGGAACACCACATCCAGCTGCCAATCAAAGTACAAAATGCCAACAAAAGTTAATCAAAGATTGCTTCCAAATATAAAACAAAAAAAATTTATATTAATTTTACAATTATTTGTAAAATGAATATTTTAGTGTATAACCTGCCAGACTCTCACAGCTGAAGCCCAAATAACTTTTAACATGAGTTAACCAAATCAAATGCTGAACCAAACCGCATGGGGGTTTTTTATTTGTATCTAACTTACTTGCAGCCTAGAGTTGATTTTGTTCACACTAATAACACAGTGTTGGATGAAGGGACTGACTAAAGAAAGGTTTACAATTTCTTTCTATGTACTAATGGTACTTTTCTTCTAGTAATGACTTAGTTTAATTGACACAATTTATTTCATAATAAATGGGAATCCAGTTAAGTAATAATTATAATAAAAAATGAAAAACCTACCAGGTGCTGCAATTGTCTTACAGTTTACTGGAGTTGCTGAGAAAACAATATGACGAATGTTATCTCACTTTTAAAGATATCCCAGTAATTGTTATTGTTATCACATATTTAAATTGTACAAGAGGCAATTTTACAGTTATGTATGTGCATGGTTACCAAGCCTTTGATTGGGAGTGAGGCTGTAGGTGAACTTGTTGTAATAGAGACCAGTATCTCGTTAACATGATAACAAAGTAAATTACATTTGAAAAGCAGCAAAGCCTGTGTCATAACAAGGTCATGCTTAGCCTCAATCCTGTTCAAGTCTTGGCAACCAAGCATGCAACTGAAAAATGAGTATTGACCACACATGTGAAGTTCAATTTAACCACAGCCCTATATAGAGCACAAAGTCAACAATTAGTTTACCTTTATACACCCAAAAATTCTGAAGTATGAATTGTATTAAATATTGGAGGTCCTTATGAAATTCAACCAGCCAGACACAGAGTTTTCTCAGACTTTACCAATTGGTTTTCATTAAAGCAGTCTTGCAATTGTAGACAACTAAATTTAAAGTGCTTTGTCTTAATGCAAAAATTCTCTAACCCTTCCATTTTCACAATCAAAATACCTATTCTTTACACAGAACTCCATACATTTCTTACAATTTAAGGTTTAAAATTTTGATGCCAATAAGTCAAACAACATTACCAAATTTCTTTCTTCTCATTACCTATTTACTAAGAATGTATTAACATAAGTTGTAACAAGAGGAAATATTTATTTTTTGTCAATCCTCCATGCACTGGGAAATGGTTTGATCATGTAAAAGCTAAAATGATTGCTCAGTTCCAAAAAGGAGAAAAAAAAAAGCATTTGGTCACCTTCAAATGCCCCATAAGAATATAACAATTTTACCTAGCTTGCTAATGCAATCTTCTGCCAGTATGAACAAAAGCTACCATAAGGTGAAGTGTGTGCACTTATCATGCATGAGATTATAAAGAAATAGACCCCATATTGCCATGTGCCTGTTCAGTAATAAATCACAGATGAGGCCAATATGTGGAAAGAACAAAAAAGTAGCACAAGAGATGCAGCACAGTGTATCACTTATGTTCTTAACACATTTTGAGGTCTTCTGTAATCTAGCTAACTACTGAACAGACCCGCACCAACATTCAAGCTATTTGTTTTCTACTACAAAAAAAGAAAAATGTTGTTTATGGTGATGTCACCTATACATGTTTCCTCAAAAAGAGTGTAAGTAGAAACCAATGAAAATGCCTGACTGAATAATTCAACTCATCATACACTGTGACACGGGTTTCAATACGGGCCAGGCACCAGACAATTGACTGGCTCAGGGAGGACACATTTGCCTGCCTCAGGTTTGAGCATCTAGAGGAAAGTTCATCCTAGAATGAAGTTCAGTTAAAAAAGTTTTGCTTGCCTGTGCAAAAACCCATGGCCCTGACCTGCTGAAAACATAAATGACACCCCTGCATACAGAATGTAATAATGAGAAAATTTTCCTCTAAATGGATGAGAATAAAAACCTACCAAGACTGTGCTCATCACATCTGTTTTTTACATCAGCAACTTCAACCCCAGTTAGTGCTCTATCATAGATCTGTAAACATGATATTTGTCCTTGGAAACTGTCCCCCTTTCCTTGCCCACCTCCAACACGAATATCATTGTCTGTGCTTAATTCAAACTTGCCCAGATATTTTTTCTGGACATCTTTACCATTTATCCACAAGATTGCCATTCCGGTGTTATGGTCATAAGAAACTCCAATGTATTGCCACTTATTTTGAAGATTAATTGAATGATTACCATTGTTAACTGAGGAAAAAGACTTTCTAGTCCGATCTGCAAACTTTGCAGATACTGAGGTGGTCCTTGAAGTGTAAAGTCCAACATCACCTTCCCCATTCAAATATTGAATGACAGAACCAGCATGAGCTGTTTGATGTATCCAAACTAAAATTGTTATTGATGTTTTAACATCCAAATGAGGACTTTGTGGAATAGTAACGTGGCTTGTTCCAATTCCTGCAAACTCATATGCAGTTTCTGCCTGTTCAAATGGACCTGTTGCAAGGTGAACATTCTGAACTTTTCCCCTCAGGTTACCATAGCAACTTGCATCAGCAGTTTCATAGTCTTTATTAAAAGGATATAACCCAACAGGATATGGAAGCAAATCTGAATTGAATATATAAAAAAAAAAGACTTAGGAATTACTAAAAGCATAAATAGAATTCTTGATACTGAAATGAAACTGATCTTGCCATTTAATCATCGGTTGGCAGTAACAATGTTGGATGTGAGGTGTACGGTAACAGTGATCTTTCAAATAAGGGGACACTCTCAATAGTGAGAATATTGCTTCAGGGTTCTCATGAAAAACTGTAGTAGCAGAAGAATATGTACAGAAAAAAATAGAATAAAGAAAACAGAAATTTGGCTATCAAAATTTTGCTGTGGAATTCTGTGTAGCAACTGGAGAATTCTCTACCATTTTCTACCTAATGAACATTATGTGGCTTTGAAAAAGTCCCTATGTTTCAACATATTTATGCAAATCACTTTTCAGTGTACAAGCTGTAATGAAGCATTTTTTCAGTTGCCAATTGGTAGGTAGAGAAAAATTGTGGAGACTAAATTTGCAGTGTAAGTCACTAATTTAACAATTTGTTTTCAGGGATCATGCAGCAAGCTTCAACTACATCTAGTACTAAAATGTGTTTCAGGTCTAAATTCAAAGTAAGATAAGAATTGGCACGTCCAACATTAAGCCACAGGTCTCCACATGAACCTTAAGAAGCAAATTGTTTCTGACCATTAAGAAATTATTTGTGAAGACAATCTAATGATTTTAGATTGAAAAAAAGGCCACTTGATTTGAAGAGATCTGAGCTTGGAGCACTGAACTTCATTTTATTTTTATTCAAAACTAAGATTTAATTCTTCAACCTATAAATGTCATATTATCTTAATTATCTCTTCAGCTTCGCTTGAGAGCCAACGAAACTAAGTCATTTGTTCATGCTCTTATTTAGCTTATTACCAGTATTTTCATTATCTCAGTGTAATTTCCATCCATGTTTTACCTGTGAACATTTACGCTATTCGGTTATTTCATTTTAAATTTTGATACACTTGGTAATTATGTCGTCAAAATTTGTTCATGTAAATATCTTATTAGTGATTATTCAAATATCAGTTTAGATTACAAACAAACATCATCTTTCCTACAGTCAATATTCATGTAGTTGATTAAAGTTTTAAGTTACCAGAAGGGACGATTTAACATTAAAAAAAAAAAACACAAGCTCCATGGAAAAAAGGAAGTGGACAAATGATAAATTTTATATGGTCACCGGAACAAAAGTCAACTCGTGTTGAAAGTCCTCACCATTTACTCCGAGAGTCACATTACATTTTTTGAAACCTGCTGGTGGCATTTGACCTCGTGAACAATGGTAAGCCGGCAATATCAACAAAACATTTGTCAAATTATGCAAGATTAAAAAATTGCCCAACAAATCCAATTGTAAATTGTTAATAATGATCGCGTATCTTGAGAATTTTTTTCACGTCCTCCTGGCCACAACGCCCTTACTATTTTGTAGAAACATCCGCACAAAATACACTAATGAATCAACAAACGAGCGATTGTTCTCTTTTTGAAGGGTTTTGTCTGACTATTCCCAAAATATTCCCAAAGGGCAATATCCGAAACAAAACACTTGCAATGCAAAAACTGTCGGCAAACAAGATAAAAAATAACATCACTTATTTGTTGAGTTCAAATATACAAGGCTGCTAGTGAAGTTTACAGGACAATTTATATTTCATCGAGAAATAACTGGTATTTCTATTATGCTTACAGTTTATGTTTCGAAAACTAAAGGCGATCGATTCGTTTCAAGTACGATAATACAGCTGACCTTGTCTCGTGATCCAGACCGTCTCGAACGCACAGTATGTAGCCGAGTCAAAAATATGAAAACGTTCAAAACATGAGCCAAAACAACGAATCGGCAATTTGTCAACATTAGAACACAACAATAAATCAAGAGGACATAAGAAATCATTCATGCGATCTTAACGGGGTGATTTTTCATACATCACTTGGCCTCGAAACTCAGACTATTCTTTGCATGCTTTAATGCAATTAAATAAATAAAAAAAAAATAACCGTAAACATCACAACAGGAGAAAGCGATTGCTAAGGGCAGACAATGCATGCAGACGAAAAGCGAGAAACCACTTACCCTCACAAAATCCGACGAATGGAAACACAGCAAGCGTAAACAAAGCCACACAATAACAACAAGGGTATATGCTGACGAATTGTACAGCCATTTTCAAAGTAGAAATCGTCGAATCTTCAAAAGTGCAATCGAAGATTTCCCATGCTCTTTAGTTTGAGATAGTCGTTCGTGCCTCTAAAACGAGTGGCGACGTCCAACAGCTTAAAATTTCACAGCTATTGTTGGGGCGTAATCAAGTGTACCGTATCGCATTTCAATGTCTATGTGGTAACGTCGTTTAAATGTGGTTGTGAAACATACTGGTTAGCTTCCGAGAAAGCTGAACCTTGAACGTGTGGTATCCGATCCAAACTCTTCCCACACAAAGCAACATTCGACGAAAATCAAATTCATGCACTCTGGTATCGAAAAAAGAGGATTAAATATCTCGATTAAACTCCATAGTATGCTTTACGATGGTCCACAGATTCAATGAAATTCACTGACTCCTTTCCCGCGTTGGAGGAAACAATAGACATCATTTAGCGTATCAACAATACTGGACACAGACGTCAATCAAATCGATTGGCACATAAAAATCGCATCACGTAAAATCGTGGGGTTTTAAACAAATGTGTATTTTGGTCGACGAACCGTTGAGACTTTAAACCCAAAGTACTCTTTTTATTTACTTTAAACGTGAATGAAGTCAGCTGCGTGTGAAATAAAAACATGCTACCGTGGGGGAGAGGGTGGGGAAACTGCCGCCAAAAAAGGGAGAAAAAGGGAGGGGAGGGTATAAACTTTTGTCATCAAACAGCTGATAAGCCCAAGGGACTGACAACGAAGAAAAAGAAGGAGGAGAAGAATGCTCAAAATTAAAAAGTAATGTTACGAGCTAAAAAAGCTGCTCTTTCTTCTAGAAACTATGTTTCTGGAAATGATCTTGCAGGATACGGAACCGCTTAACCAACATGGGGGTGATGGACCTTGTGGTTTTGGGGCAGCATAAGATCACGTTTTTTTTTCTAGCTTCGCTTTTCGCGATTATATCTATCCTTTTCTGCTAATACTCGCACTGACTGAATCTGTACTGTAAATGAAGTATAGCGATGCCAGGAGTAATTTGCTTTTCACTTTTAGTTGGATAAAACAGGAGCTAAACACCCATAAATAGAAGGCATTTCACTATGGGAAAGGCCGTTTCAAAAATTTGCTATCAGCATTACATTGCAACTCGGACTAGAAGGAAAATGTATTAACGAATTAAGGGGGCGGAACTATAAAAAAAAAAAAGAAAAACTCAGATCCTTGATCTTAACAAGCCCTTACGTGACCCAGAGGTTGAAAATCAAGACGTTTTGTCAACACGCAATCCCTAGAATGAAACCATGTGTAGAAAACATACACTCTATACTCTACCCAGGAGTCCATTTGCAAACTGATCAATTTACTATTTCTCGCACGAGCTGTAAGCAAAATTTCAGAACACTGTAAAGAGAATTGCTTCTCTTTTTGACAAACTGAAAAAATGCGGATTGTATTACAAAACACCGTTCACGAGTAAAAGTTAAGGGTTTAAGAGGCCAGTGATGTTACATCGCTATTGATTGCAGGCTAATTTCCTAGTTGTTCCTCATTATGTAGCAAAATCATCGTTTTAAAACACATTGATATGCTATGACTGCCAGCCAAAAGTGGAATTTGGGTAGAATCCAGGGTTCTCAGTGCTTGATAAGGTAATTTGGCGGGGTCGTGTTTGTGATAAAATTATTTACATTTGAATTTCTTGTCTGCCGGAACAATTTTGTACGATCGATGAAAGCCAGGGTCAAACTACAGATAGGTAAAAAGCCAGGTTCAAACTACAGATAGGTAAGACTGACCACTTCCGTAGTGCCGGTTTCAATTTGCACAACCCACTCAGCTTGTGGATGAAGCACAAACGAGGAAAGCAGTTACACGTACATTGTTGTTTCTCAGTGTTTGATTTGAGTGAAATCATCATCATCATCATCATCATCAGGGCTAAATTCACTCCCGGCGGAGGAACCCTTCCCTGGAATGATCCCACAGGTATCTGACTTTAGCCAATCACGACCATGCAGGTCCCAGCTGTCTGGTGAGATCATCCCTCCATCGTGTTTTTGGACGACCCTGTTTTCTGGTCCAGTCCCTACGGGTCCACTCCGTTGCTCTAATTGTCCATCTATTATCTGACAGCCGTGCTATGTGACCTGTCCATCTGTGCTTTGCCATCCTGATAGCACTGACGATGTCGCTTACACCAGTTTCTTTTCGAATCCAGGTGTTTCGCTTTCGGTCTCGTTCAGCATTATACGTTCCATAAAAAAATAAGATCATAAAAAGAGGTGCAGATCGCTTAATCTGTTGCCAGATTAGAGAGAAACTCGAGAGTTTCAGTTTTTCTTCCGTTCCTAAACATGAATAAAGACTAGATTTTATGGAAAAATGGCATGTGAGCTAGTTTCCTCATAGCGGATCCTAACTATAGGAACTCATCTCCCAATTAAGAATAAACAATCAGGAAAACTTCCTTAAAACGTCAAGCCAGAAGGTTTCTAAGCTGATTCATTTAATACGCTTTCAAAACGATTAGACTCGATTTAAACACGCCAAATAAAAAGATCATTTCCCTGAGCCTTTCAACTTCTTTAACTTATTTAAAATACATATCAAAACTGAGAAAGTGATAAAATAACAATAAATATTTGCTAGTTAGCCTCCTGTAGGAGATTCACGTGCTTGAACGAAGTCTATAAGTACCAAAAGGGCACACAGTTATTCCGGACAGTAAAAAAAAAGAAAAAAAAAGAAAATCTTCTCGTCTATGATCATGTCTCTGCTAAATCCCTTTTACTTGTTCTTCAGAATCCTATTATTAGCTGCGGGCTGCTCCAAGCCTTGAAAGATTCTTTGTAGAGTGTTTTTCTCTTCTATGGAAGTCGATTTAGGCTTCCAGTGACATGTTGTTCAATCCGTCACGTACTATGTTCTATTTATTGATATTAGATTTCCGGTACTCCGTCTAAAGCAGTGCTGCATCAGCACTTCCCGGATCACTCAAGCTTCCTGGAAAACGAGACGTTTTTTTAACGTCACGATATAATAGTCACTCGATAAACGATTTCTAGTGAGACTCATTTATTCGAGACTGGTTCTCACGTCTGACTTGTTCAGTTATTAATTAGCCTAAGTATACTATCTTTCTATCACAAATGCCGCAATCTTATTGGATACGCTACTCGTTATCTATAGTGAACCAATTGTTTCTGTGCTGCCGTGAGCCTGTAAAATGAGAGATCACCGATGACGTCAAAATGTGGTAAGAACGAAAAAGTGGCACAAGCGCACACGTACACGAGGTGCAGCCGGGTGTGCCACTGATCGGTTCCTACCACATTTTTATCACGCTTTCTATGATCGGTTACTGAGTAAACTCACGGCAACATGAAATCTGTTTGTTTATCTATCTATAAAGAAGCATAATGTGGCCCATGGTGACGTCATCTGTGCGTCAGTCGTTTCCGCTTGTCCTGTGAATCATTAGCAAGAACGACAACCTCGTTCCCATGCCCTTTTTCCATTTCCCGCCCCTCCCCCAAGTGAGGGAAAACGCGATGGGAATAAGGTTGTAAAAACCAATCAAAATTTCTGTATAAATCAGCTTATTTTATAATCCGCGATAGATGGTGAGTAGCCCAGCAGTATGTTGTAATACCAAAATATAATAAAGCATGAGTCTGTCTTGTGGTGGTTAAGGTTTGAGTTGGCCGTTTGCTTGACTAGTATAGCTTAAAAGAATACATTAATTTCCGAAAAAATGGAAAGGATACTAGATGGCTTGGTTTAATTCGCACGTCTTGTTTTCCATTTCCTTTACTTCTTTATTTGCCCCGTCGATCTTTACCGCATTATCTTAATGAAATAATCCTAAGGTCCCCGTTTCCGAAACCTCTCCAAGTCTCACTGGCGCCATCCTAAGCCGTAAGATTCTGGATTTTTCTCTTCCCAGTCGAGGAATTCTGTTTTTGGGATGTGCTAAAGAACCCAAACAAGTTTCTGAGGTTTTTTGTTAGTCCTAAACCAACCAGACATTACTAGAATGTTCTGACATTCAGGAAACAGATTTTTTGTGTTCGTTATTGATCCTTAAGGTACTTGATGCGTCGTGGTTCATAATTTTAGCCAGTACTAGGCTTTCAAATAATGAATGGCTTGTGACGGTCGCACAGAATGAAAAAGGAGGAAGGTTTTGTTTATCGTTCAGCATTTGCAATTGTAGAAATTCGTTAGTTGGAAGTAGCTACGGAAGTCCGGCGGCTCGAACCCTTTTAAATAGGTTTTTGAATTAAATTAAAGTAGGAGATCCAAGACCTCCCCACCCACTGGAAAAAACACCTATGCTAAGTAGTGTGTCGCCTTTGCTTGTGGTTAACACCAGTTGGCGCACTGCCGATTCTGAACGGAATGATACCAGCGTAGGATTATGTTCGATCCATCTTGAAGGCTTTTCAGCGGCAATTTTATCAAATGCTCTCTGAAAGTTTGGTGAATTAAGTAAATAAACAACATTTATTTTTTCATCTCCTTGAATCATGGTGAAAAAAGTGTATATCATAGAGTGGGTAAGTATTTATCCCTGAAAAAGATCGAGTAAAGTTTGCCAGATGGTTTCCATGTCTTGCCTAAACAAGACAATTTACACTGCACCCTACGTTTACAATGAATTCCGATCACCGGAAAACGAATAAAGTTGAAAATTACATTATAATCTTCCTGTGAATCTAGAGAATGGTATGAGCGGTGTTGCCCATTTTCACTTCAGCCGAAACTCGCGACTTTTGAGGATTCAAAGCTCGTGAAAATGAGATTGATGATTTGTTCAAACAAGATATATGATGTACAACCAACAAGCTAATAACTTTTTTTTATGCAAATTGAAATAACCATCTGACGTATCTGCTTATGAATATTTATTTTCAGTTTATATTTTTTCCACGCTTGATTCAAATGATGGTCGGTTGTGGTTTACATGTGTAGTTCATAACAACATTTTATCGATCCCTTTGAGGAACTTGTGGGAAGCAGACTCGCATATTCGATTAGGTAAGTGGGAAAATTTTGATCATTCTTGCTGAAATTCTTTCTTTCTAAGAGTGTTCACATACGAAGATTTTTTTGGGAAAAGGAGCCCTGCGGAGTCTTCTACGCTTATAGCATGATATCTAATGAATGCAAGATAGTAAGACGGTTTTAGAATAGCATGTTTTATGATAAAAAACTTAAACCCGTTTCACGTTCATAAGCGTCTGAAGGAGACTTCTTGGTTGAAAAGACTAGTGCTTCTCAAATGAAACTAAACTTTTCTTCTATATATATATCTCGCCCGCTTTAGTACTTGTTGGAAAGAATATCCAAAATCTCTTCGGGATTTTCTTCGATTTCTCTCACGTTTCAACCTTATCAAGGTAAAAGAAAAGTACGAGTGTCACACTCATAAAAACGATTCAAAATATACCCTATCAATCAATGCCAACTTCTAGTGTTTTTCAGTGGTTTAGTACATTTTGTGAGCGAAACGATGTAAAATACGGGCAGAAGGCTATGAAAATATATACCGGTTCATGACCATAGAAAGAGAATGGACCCTTTTATTACTTCAGTCTGAGAACTCTCTGTTTGCGCCGAGAATTTTAATTCTGAAACGGTGGTGTTTATTTATTGTTGGTAAGTTAATATTCTGGAGAAAATCTGCCTACTCGTTGTCCAGATATGATAAACAATTCTCTGAAAGGAAATACGTGACCCGGGTCATGAAAATTTAGGTTGGAGCTTTTAAATATTGGTAGAGGATTCTTACTCGCAAAAAAAATTCATCTTGAACCGGAACTCGAGAAACATCTGGTAAAATGTCTTTAGTTGTTTCAGCTTGATATGAGTCTTTGAGTTGTCAGGAGAAAACTGTCAGACCATGGTACGTCTAAAATAGTTCAGAAAAAAATATCCATGCAATGGACCTTGTCATATAAGGTTTTCTTAATGATTCGTGACGGCGTAAACACTGAAATTATCAAAAGCTCCTAACAAGCAAAGGTGATCGAGAGTAAAAATCAATGGAACTCAACCATATCTGTTTCATTATTCGGCCAATTGCAGGTGGGTTTAAACGACGAGTGAATTTCCATTTTGTCCTCGAATAGTATCGGCGATGAATAGGATTTGAAATTGCCTCCTCCAGCGAGAGTTTGATATTGATATTAAAACGCAGCTTGCATACAGAAAGCTTTGAAATGTTCCTTGGAAGCAAACTTGAAATAAAGATCGCGTGATTACTATGGAAAGCCGCGCGAAAGCGGAATTAACGTGGTCTCAAGTCACGCATGGCAAAATGAAGACTCGACGGAGATTACACGACAAACACTTTAAGATAAGTGTCTATCGTCTCTAACTAAAACAGATGAATAAGTCAAGATTTGACCGGTACTGTTTTTCTTAGAACAAAGAATCGCAAGGTACATGTTACCCGAAGTCATTTTGAAGTTCGTCTTAAAACATTCTGTGTTTTGTTTCGTTTACTAATTTGAATAAATTCGAGTAAGTTCGAGTTGTGAAAAAAAATTCATTTTTGATAGAATCTACTTGCAGGTGTGTCAGATAAAAGCTTCCGCTAAAATCTGCTCGGAATGATATAACATTATGCTCACTCAGAATATTCCTATTTGCATTGGTGGTAATTGAAAAAAACCCCTCCACTCAAAGTTGTAATTTTTCTTGCTTTGCCTCTTTTTTCACTGTGACTTCTAAGCTATATAGATCGCGCAGTTTAAATTGACAATTTTAAAAGCGACCTATTATCAATCATGGAATTTTTCCCCACTCGTATTAAAGTTTTGCCCAGTTTACATTTAGTTCAGGGAGAAAATGAACCAATTAATACCGAATGACAAGCGCCTGAGGGCATCAACCTCCTGGACTCATCGGCTGCGCCGCCCGCTGACAGTTGCTGCTAATGCGATGGGATGACTTTTACAAAGAGTAACGATGAGAGAAAGATTTCTCTCCTTTCAGTTGGTAGATAGATCAGCGCAGTTGCTAGTTTATAATGCAACATTTTTATTCTTTAGGCTAGAGAAAATAGCTCAGAAAATATTTTTTCCCAGCTTTATTTCAGCTGTTCTCGACCCGATTGCGTTCGAATGGTTGCGTAGTAAACACATTGCATCATGGACAGCAACGATAGCAGACTCAATGGGACCATAATGAACCCGACAAATTTAAACGGTGAGCATTGGAAAATAATTAAAGAAAAGATTCTCAATAAGTAAATTAATAAGTAAATATGTCTAACAACTACTGCCTTTAACATGTTTTAAAGAAAGGGGAGGGGGGAGGGATAAAACAGAATTTTTCTGTCAGACAAACTCCTTTTATTGCAAGTTTAGAGGACGTAATAGTTTAGGACCAGAATTCAAGAGACTATGTTGTTGTATCTTTGCAGTATGTCTCTACATGTATTGCTTGAGTTTAACTTGAGACTGTGGAGTTTTGAAATTACTGAAGGGCCTTTGCTTCTTGGAAGGATTCTCTCTTTTAACAGATTGTCTGTTCAGTACGAATAAAGGCTAATTTGAGGCATTTTTATCCGATAGAAATCAGTTACGCTGTTGATTAATGGGATCTCTCCTTCTTGCATGGGGAGAAATTTCGTTTTTCTCGTGACACAGGTTTTCCTCCTTATTCCACACTTCCATGGCCGAAAGTCGTCAACAACAACAACATTAAAAAACTGGAAAGGAACAAAAACTGTTTCTTTATTTTACCTTCAAACCATCGAAAAAAAGAGGATCGGAGAGCATTTTCCTCAAGTTTATAACTTGATCGCTTTATTTCATCCTTTAAGACGTCTTTTTTTTAACTTTTCCGTGGAAGATTCTATCGCAGGCAAGGAAGAGACTGTTGAGGTGGGCGTTATTGTAATGGGCCTCAGCTGTATTTGCCTGGTGGCCTGTGCACTAGTTGTTCTTCAGCTCCGCTCGAACAGCAGACGCATTTCAGGGAACCGTCAAAGAGCCGGACATTCAGGGGATGTGTCTGAAGATCGATCATGTGATCCATTGGATGTGGCAGCACCGCCCTCATATGACGCAGGTAAGATGATGATATCTGATTTCTTTTATCAATATATGTCATGTGACTGTGGGGAATCATTCTGGATCACGGATTGGATAGATCACAAGGAACCTCTGAATTCCGTGCGGATGCCTTCTCCAATTATAAAAGGGAATTGGAACCTGTTTGGTTCCTCAAGTCGAAGGCCGCGTTATGACACGCTAACTTTGAGGAGAGCATTCGTTTTTCACAAAAACAAAAAATAACAGTCTTATAAATCCCATGAGAACTCTAAGTAAGTCAAGTATATACATGCAAATTGCCTTAAGGGTAGACTAGACAGATTTTCAAGTTATGCAGCTGATAATAGCTGATAGTGTAGCGCGAGTACTCTGGAGACAATTCGAGGGCAAACAATAATATAGATTTTTGAATTACTCTTAGCAATTAATATAAAATTCCTTTTTAAGGCAAATTGAAAACAGCATAGGAAGATTTACTAAATCCAAAGAAAGATTTCTCTGAGCCCATCTAAAATTTGCATTTACGTAAATACGTAGATTTTGCTGCTTTCCAGTTTTTCGAGCGGGGACATTGGAAAATAAATTGAAAAGGTCGAGGATCTTGTTGTCCTATAATGAATGATGTCTGATTTCAATATGGAAAGCAGATTTATGTGCAGTTTCGTTGTCGAACTGAGTCACGAATACCACAAAATTTGCAACTTGAATTGATTTTCATTATACCGACGTCTATTGATGTTTCAATCATTTAATCCCATTTTTTTTTTTAGTAATCCGTTCCCCTCACCTGTACCCGCCTTCCCGACAGATCCCCATGTCTCCTTGTGCCTCGGAGTCGCGAAGAAGCTCCAGATCAAGTAGATTCAGTTTGTCGCTTCATAGTCCTCGACTCGCCCTTCACTATCTCGAAGTCCCTCGAGGAACATCAGAGGAGGACCTCTCCGTACATCCGAGCTTACAGACGTCTCACGAGGAGGACAATGAAGAACCTCCCCCACCATATCCAGGGAATTTCATTTCAACAGAAACAGGACAAGGTGCGAATCCATCGGACATTGTCTGTCAAAGCAACTCGAGACTATCCCGCAAGAGTGCCGGACACGGTGAAATGAATGAGAGAACAGTTAAAAATGAGCTTAACCGAAGGAACTCGGGAGCGCGGGAAAGTACCAGTCACGTGGTCGATGCGGCGTGGACAAGTAGAGAAATCTGTAGTGAATTATGTAGAACTGACATCTGTCAATCAAATCACGAAAGGAGGATCCCAGTCTGCAATCTTAGACAGCCTAATGTTTTTCGGACAGTTGTCTCTTATTCACCGCATCTTCAACATTGTAGAGCGCCCGTCACTGAGTCTCTGACTGCCTGTGCTGAAGATATCGAATTTGCTAACACTGTGTAGTCATAACTTTTGTGTGGTCAATATTTCTATATTAAATTCTCATTTTTCAAGTTTGCAGTTTTATCAGACCAAGCCGTTCCCACCCCCTGGAGCCCTCTCCCTGGATCCGCCATTGAAGTCCATTTTCATAATTTGACCACTCACCACCTTTGTGACCAAATACTTCCCACAAGAAATAACTTCAACTTTCAAAGTTGTTTGAACATGCAAATAATAGGAGAAGAGCTGTGAATATTTCTGTTTTATCTTGGCGTTGTGGCGTATTGTGCTATATCCGCAGCAATTTAGTTTGTTGCAAATTCAAGATTTCTAACAGACATTTTTCCAACCATCTCAATCAATTCGTACAATGTGCGCATAGAACTTTGATTACAAGTCAATCGCAATGTAGATTTAATTCCTCGCAATCACAACTACACGAAAAGTTTCGTTCAACTGTTTCCGCTGGTTTGCGTTATCAGATTTTAGCATGTCAGGAAATTATACTTGACATCGACAGCCCATTAGGCTCCTGTTGACATTTATTATTGAAATGAGAGAGGATTCCCACCCTACCTCGCAGTAAGAAATTTAATCCAATGATAGCTTCATTTTCATCGATTGACGGGGGCAAAAAAAAAGTTTCTTAATCAAATCTTAAAATAAAATGTACAGGTAGCCCCGGGTACAAACGTCAACTCTCCAAAAACAAAGAAAAAGAAGATTCAGCAGGAAAAAACTTAAAGCCAGTGTCAAGTAATGAATCTCTCAGGAAACAGTTTCGCATTCATCCAGAAATTGCACAAAGGCTAGGAAGAGAAAATATGTCTGCAACATTTTCTGCCTTTCACTTGAGCCTTTCTATTCACAGCTTACTAGGGAAAAAAAGGTCTACAAAGGCACGAAGGTATTCAGGAGTTAATTTATAGGTGATCTTAAAGTTGATGGAAAAACTTTTAAGTACAGCATATGCGTTACCGTAATCGAGGATTAAGATAACCTTTGCCTTGAGTGTATTAAACATGTGACCATGTGACTGAATCTAATCACGAGCAATTCGGATGACACATTCATTCATCGGCAGGAAAAATGAAAACTGTGGAAGTTGTAAAAATTCTTGTGCTTTTAGCCTTCTATAACATTCTTTTATCAAAAGCTGTTGTGCTTCCAAATTTCTATCCTTTTGGAGTGAGCGAGGGAGACCAGCTTGTTCCGACAAATGATGATGGGAGCTCTGGGAAGATACCGATATCAATTCCATTTCCTTTCTTCGACGAGAATCAAAATTCGCTGTTTGTAAGTATGCGATTTTTTTAAAAAAAAAGAAAAAAAACCCGATGATATTGCTGCTTGATGCAAGCAAATTGAATGGGGGGCATCTCTCTTATTGCAAATATTACAATAGGTGGCGTTCAGACTGAGTGTCTTATAACCTTAATTGCAGTTAGTCTTCTGTGCACTTTTCTGTTCACTCCCCATTATTGGAGGGTGATGTTTGACCCTTCCTGTTTTTAAGGATTCCTAGTTCACAACACAACATCTTGAAACAACAACAAAACCAAAACAACGTTGGTCTATTTCATAAAAGATTCAAATGTGAAAACTCCCAGAACAGAAGAAGGATGAAATAGATATCACTAAAACGGAAATTCTTTGAATAATTCAGTTGAATTGTAAGCACGGAAATAATAAGATTAGGCTGTATAGCCTATTTCCAAAAATCAACCGTGTCCATAATTTTTAAAGCATGAATCTTCAAAGCTATGATAGAAGTCCAAAAACAAGTTTACATATGACATGATCATATACACATTAGGCGATGTATGCTCTAGACACCATACAACTTTTACGTCCACTTTCGAGGAGTATCAGATGACCACACGCTAAATAGCTGACAGCATTTGAACATTCCAAAGGGTAACCCAACCTTTCTAAGCTTGTCCTCCAATATACTAATACTTCGATAACTAAGTTAACTGTTTTATCAGTGTATTTTTAATTACGTCGAAAATAAAAATCCGTTTCTTATTTTTCGTTTATTGTTACGTGAGATATTTTTATAATCCTTGTAAAGCGCTATTGGTAGCAATAGAAATACAGCTGTAGAACTATACAAATTTTCAAAAGATTGAAGATTATTTTACCTGATGAATTGAGTGATCTTCCACGCCTTCGCCTATCCATGGCATCATCAGGGAACCCTACGTTCAAGGCTTCACTTAAATTACTTTAGTAATGTATTATCCAAACTGATACTATTGGGGAATAGGTTTCAGAGTTATACAAACCTCTAAAACAGTTTCTTATCATTCCGAGTCTCTGGCTTCTTTGAACGGGTGTCATCCCTTATCAGACATGCGAACCACAGTTGGATTCGCTGTCGTCCTGGAAACTTGTTCTGTTCCTCTGCTAGCCATCAAAGTTGTATCAAAGAAAGTTTGACGATTTCGGCAGCTAAGCTGTAGTTTACAGGTTTAATTGCTCATTTCAGGTCAACACCAACGGGGTGATTTCTTTTCTGGTTCAAGTTTCACAGTACACCCCGGATTCATTTCCTCTGGGAAACGATCGTCGACTCGTGGCGCCATTTTGGGCTGATGTTGATACAAGAAATGGAGGACAAGTGTTCTACCGAGAGACCACAGATTTACAGTTGCTTAAACGAGCTACTAATGATGTTACAGCCGCCTTTGTAGATCACAGAAAATTCAAAGCCACTTGGCTATTCGTGGCGACGTGGTATAAAGTCGCTTTCTATGGTGCTAGCAATTACTCACATAAGGTAAGGCTTGATTTAACCATTATTCGGCAGAGCATGATTATAATAAAACCCATTTTCCTCTAAGGAAAATGATACTAGTATCAAGAGAGAAAAACAATGCTATCTGCAGCAATGCTAATACGTGCCCTATCATGTGTCCTGGATATCCATAGAGGGGATATCCAGGAGAAACGTTACAACTTCTCTTAGATGGAATGCTAATCCATTATAGGTATCTACTCCAGAAGCTCATTAGGTTTCTTCTAAAGTTTGTTAGTACTGTCAGTACAGCAAATTTTCTTGTCCGCACTGACCCAACTAGGGCTTGACCCTAGGGTCTATCTCAATCTGTAGTAGTAGCCCTGCACGGCAATTGTCAGGCCACTGCGTCCTAAACAAAAAAACTCCAAGAAACTTTGGTCACATCAAAAAATTGAGAGATTTTTGTTCAATTGAGATAGTTTGGCCGAGACCCCCAATGCTCCCCGAAGCTTGGCCGTGGGGAGCTTCGAGGGTCGAGGGGTAAGGACCTCCCCACCCCCCACCCCAGCTAAAGAACTAAAAAATTGAGCGATGACTGAGAAAAAAGTTGCCGCATTCTGAAGGTGCACGACCTTTTTGACTCATGAGCGAGTCGAAAATTTGAGTTACTGTTAGCCTAACGAGTTAGTGAGGTTTGACCCATGCCATGTGACACATTCTGCTACAATCAGAAAACGCATTTGAGTTGAGAAGTATGAGCAAATTATTTAATGTGCTAACCTGCCATTTTTAATTTTCCTCTAGAGAAACACTTTTCAGGCGATTTTGATAACAAACGGACGACACTCTTTTGTTATTTATAATTATAACAAAATCACTTGGACTACAGGCACAGCAAGCTCAGGAAACCAAACCGGGCTTGGAGGTACCCAGGCACAAGTAAGATGGCGCCGTCTTCTATTAAACTTAAAAGTTATTAAGTCATGCCAGGCTTATTCAGTTTACTTTCAAAATCCTGGTAACTGAACCAACCTCCAAAGCCAACTGAGACTTACAGGTGGCAATTCAATTCAAAGAAGGAATATTCAGTGCCTGGAAAAGTTCATGATCAGGCGTCGTAAATTCTCTGATTTTGAGTTAGTTAATTTTAGCTCCTCTCTGTGCTGTCATTAAGTGAAGTCCCTCTAGGTTCCACCTTCAAGTTCTTTGAATAGTGGATTTTGATTCTTTGTAACTGTCGCTTCACGTTGTACTGACAGGCAGGCTTCAATGCTGGTGACGGCAAACGCTTTTACACTATCCAAGGATCTGGCAGTCATGACGTTATTAATCTTCCTAACAAGTCCAATGTGGCGAGACCCGGTCGATGGGTGTTCCGTATTGATAATGCGAAGATCGAGGAAGGTGGTTGCAACACGAAAGGTCAGCGATGTATGCCTTTTTCTCCACTCCATCAAATTCACCAAGTGAGGAGTACCTTTACATAAATGATGATGATAAAGATGACGATGAAGACGATAATGGTTAACGATCTTTTTCTTTTTTTATTTAACAAGGATCAATTGTTATTTCACCGGACCACGCAATCATGCTTGGAGGTGACAACATTCTGATGTCTGGACCTTGTTTCAAGCCATCGGATCACATCACGTGTGAATTTTCTGGCGGCAAAGCAACCAACGGAAGTTATATTAGTCCAATTCAGGCATCTTGCACCATACCCTTGCTTTATTTGACGGGCAGGTTGGCAATAAATATGTCAGTTAACGGAGGAAGGAGTTTCGATTTTCAAGGCATCATCACCATTGGTAAGATTAATCTCTGGAAGGTTACGAGAAAGCCTAGTCTCTCGCAAGTTGATGTATAATGGACTATTTTGCGTTAGCTATCTAGCCCGTTTGACATGAAATATGCCGGAAAACAAAACATCTCTTTTAAAGAAATTAAAAAGTAATTCTCGGAACATTTAGCTCAAGCTGATGCATCACACTGTTTCTATTACGCATATCGGACAATAGCTGAATTGAATAACTCTTTAGATGTACCATACCACCAATTGTACTCCCTGGAAGGTCTGTAAAACTGGTATCGCACTCCGTCGGGGTATGACAATCCTCCCTTCCCCCCCTCCCGTATTAGTGGTGTAGGTGCATCAATCTTTAAGTTGAGTGCTGTTCTTGGGAAACCTAACACTAAACCTAACCTTATTTATATAGTTCTTTATTGATTCTTGTTCCTACCAAGTTAACATTGTAAAATTCAAGCCGCGTGTCGTTAGGCACATGGCAAAGAAGTGGATTGAACAAAGTCAAGTCCGGATCACATGGGATCCAGCTTACCTCGGAGACGAGAACCAGAAAGTAACTGTTCAACTGGCTCGTTTTTCCACGAAGGGCGACGGGCAGGTGGTTTTTCACAGCACATTCACCGTAGTGGCAGGGCAAGAAAATACCGGAACCAGTATGTTCATTGTGCCAAAAGGAGAAGGTCAAGGGTAAGAAGTTATTATTGCTTGTGATTTCAGTCAATACATGTATAAATATTATAAACTACAATTACAAAAGCATCAAATCGATGATTAATCGTAACTGAAGGGCCGTCTAATAAAATTAAATGCTTGTGTTAGATCGTCAACCATGAGTGTCATAGAAGTGACACTGTTGTTGAGTGTTCTTGTTAGACCTCTCATAACATTATATTTTCTAAAGGAAGGTGTTTTCTTCTTTTCACGAGCGTGAGACGGGAAAAAAATGCAGATTCCCCATTAAGAATCCAACCTACCTAGTGAGGACCTTGTCCCACGCTCGTGAAAAGACGAAAAACAACTTTCTCCTTTTCTTTACTGATTCTTAAAACTTGTCATCCTTCTTTTTCTAGTTATTATATTATCTGGTCGTGATATTATCATATCACATCTAGTTTATTGTTTGCACCTAGAGTGGGGGTCAAAACTCCTTGGGACAGTTATTGAAGACATATTCCATATTTAAATAAAAAAGACCACTTTTTGCCAATTGAGGCGTACAGAAAGAAACTCTCGTCCCTCCTAAAAGAGTTAATACGACCACGTCTTTGAAAAAATTGCAAAGCGCACAAAATTCAACATTTTCAAGGGAAGAAGGAGGAGGGGAGGGGAAATAATTTGAATTCAGAAAGAGCACGTTATAAGTTTCCCATTGCAGTTTGTAAAGGGAGAAAGTCAGGTCAGGATTAAATGAAATTGTATCGGGGTTGGGCCGGTGGTAGACCGCGTAGGGGACATCGGTCCTATATCTTCGAAGTCAAGGAAACTTTTCCTTTAAAATTACAACAGTAATTACCCGTCAGGTTAAAACAAACAATCCTTCTTAAAGAGACCTATTTGTTAATTTAATTTTTTTGCGGTTACAATACGTTAGAGCAATAGTTGGGGATGGCCGCTTTGTCACATTGGTGATGGTGAAAAGAAATACCGGCAACTTCAGCACTACCACCCAGGCCGAGTGGATCTGGAGTGATCTTTTTCACTGGGTGAATTACGAGCTGGCTGGGCAGAGATGTATGCATTGGTATAACAAGGAGCCTGATCCAAACATATATACAGGTAAATCATATCCTACACAGCCCATATCTTATATTTCGAACGGGATCCTGAGAGACTACGTAGATAACATTTAGTTGAGGGCTAATAGCAGCTACAAAAGCTAATCCCGAGAGGCTGAAATTACAATTGAAATGGTATGTACATATCTCTTAGAACAATGTTTTAAGCTCAACATGATCAATTAATTAATGTATTCTCTTTACATGTTTACAGATACCCTCCTTCCCTGCCCGCAAACGTTTCTTCAAGCAATGGCGGATCGCGGTCGATTTATGTCAGACGAATACTGTAATCCAGATGCCAGGCAACATTGTGCCAAATACCATAAGGGAGCCATGCATTGCTTTAGAACAAACAATCCGAGGTGGACATGTATATCTAATATGCCAGAAAACAGGCGCAATATATTGAAATGATCACGAGTAAACGTAAATACACCAAGTCAGTTACTTTTTAGAAAAAAAAAAAAGGATCAGAATGCTCGCTTATTGTCTGAATGGAGCGTTGGACGGGAGATAGACGAAGAGCAAACAAAGATTTCGCCCGTCCCGACCATATGACCTCTGTTCACTTTCTCCGCCTTCTTCCTTTCTTGTTACATTTTGCATCTTACGGTGCTATAAGGCTTTTTCCCGTTTTGTTCTCGCAATCTCGCTCGGCCCTCTCACGAAGATTTCTTATATAATGTTTTTCAATGAAAAAGAGAGCCCAACGGTGTTCTTTAAATGATTTGATAGGTATATATTCAAATTCAACGCGCAAAGTTCTTACATTAGCTAGCTTAATGAACTGGCTGAGAGTCTCATATAATTCAGTAGTGGCTCCCCAGGGCGAAAGACGGTTTCCATCTTCAGTTTTAAGTGCTTTAATTTTGTTCTCTTTTTTGTATGAAAATCTCATTGATTGAAACAGAACATTGAACTTATCTCAATTTGCAGTGAAAAAGGCGCTGGACAGAAGTGTTGCTATAATGAACACGGAAACTTGATGATTGGTCCGAAAAATGGAGGATCCCTGGACCGCATCCATATTAGGGCTGGAATACCAGTTTTCTCTCATTACTTCAACGACCTTTTGCCTTATTCAGACTGCTGCCTGTTCTCTGAGAACTGTGGAAAGTACTTTGAGAAGAGACCTTCAGATAACGGCACTAATTACGAGCCTCCACGGCCAGGTTAAGTATTTTGATATTGTATGGCTATCATTTGTTTCAAATACTACAAGGGTCTCCTCTGCGAAAAAACTGATTTTCATTTTGCAGTGTATCCTATCTTTGTCAATTAACGACTCTTATTCTCGTCAGATGTATTGAATCCAATGGCTAGGAAAAGTAGTCAGATATCTATCATCTTTTGTAGTGTCACGGGAAGAACTGCAAAAAATTTCGGATCTACTGAGCATATTTCGCTGATTCAAACGGTAACATGTCCTCTCCTCGGAAAAAAAAAATTTTCCTCGAAGTTTTCATGATAAGGATCACAACTATTAAAATTCAAACAGGCTGTTTGGATTCATCAAATGGTGACAATGACCGCTAAATATAATGCCGCTAAATACAGCGGGTACGACTGTATCATTTTATCATTTTCATGTTGACGTAACTCTCGAAGCAAACCTTAACTAATTGTGGTCGAGCTATGCATTACATTCGAACTACTGGTAAGATTAAATAAATATATCTTATTGGATGTTTTGATGTGTCGTATCGCTGAGTATTTTTACGAGTTGTGCCGTATTTTGACGAGTCCGTAGGGGCGAGTCAAAATACAAACAACTCGTAAAAGTACTCAGCGATACGACACACCAAAACAACTAATAAGTTATTTATTATTAACACGCCAAATTTTTATTTCAGTGCGGGCAATTTTCACGGATACTTATTCACGGAGAGTGTGCTGTTTCTGTTTTCTTCAATATATGATAAAATTTCATCGACGTCTAAGTACTTTTCTTCGTTCGATTTTTCTAACAAACTTGGGTCAGTATTCGCCAGCCATTACGACTCTTCGTCGTGAATTAAATGTTTTTGATTGTTCGCCATTTTTTTTTGTAACTCCAATCCAATTGGACGCTTGCGCGATGCGAGAAAATCTGTCTAACCGGTTCTCTGGAGTACAAATACCGCGTGACATTTGTAGTTGTCTTGGGCGTTATTTGTACTCTACGGAGTGTAGTTGGATAATAATTGCATTTATTTACATTTTTTATTTTTCTGTAGCCACTGGAATCGGCGATCCTCACATGATTACCTTTGACGGAGTTGAATACACCTTTAATGGTTATGGCGAGTATCAAATTCTCCAGGTAGCTCCTTCTGGGTTCAAGCTACAGGGAAGAATGCAGCCTTTGATCAGTATTGATGGCAATAAGACCCGTGGTACAGTTTATAAGGCGTTTGCGATGAAGGAAAATGGCTCGGATGTTGTGCAGGTATACACTGGTCGACTAAAAACTAATTTTTCGTCTTTTATTTAGAGAAAACAGAGGGCTGTACTTTTCTCAGAGAACTCGTCTTTTCAGTTCAGGTTTTTCCTTGGGCTTCAGTGATTGGAAAAGGATTAAACTAAGCGTTTTAGACCAAACTTTTTCCCTAAGTGGTTTTATAGCAGAGTGAAAAATGCGTGGCTGTTCTTGTTCCAGTAGAAAATGTCTTTCCTGTACTGACAAAGAAAAACGGTAGTCATTATCTGCAATCTGGCTTACAGATTGTAAATTGCGACTTGAAATGAATTAAACAACCTTCCCTCTTATCAGGTGCACATCAACGGTCGCAGCGAAGTTGACGTTCTGGTTAATGGAGCTTTGATGGAATTTGATTCACAAATGATGGTGGATCTAATTGGTGTCACAGTTTTAAAGTACAACAACTCCTATAAATATTCCACCATATTTAACTCTGGGATATCAGTTACAATCGAGAAAGCCGATGACCTTTTACAAATGATGCTGTTGGTACCACAGATGTATAAAGGTATGCCCTATCCAGGACATCAGTTCAAAGTTACATCCTGGAATTCATGATCAACAGGTCAATGCTGTTTCTCTTATTTACAACAGTGATGTTGAGTTTTTTGACAAGCTTGATAGCCTTCTGTCCGATACGAGTTATAGGAAGTATTGGTAATAAATGAAAGTAATCGAGTAACAACTGCCAGACGACGCATCCTGCGTCAGGTGACAAGGCAGCTACCATTTGATTACTCAACGCGAAGAAGAAGGCAATCCTACGCAAATAATATACGACAGGTTTTTGATAGATTCAAGTGTTATGTATATCTATTTCTTCATTATAATTTTTAAGGAAATACCAGTGGCCTCCTGGGATTCTGGGACGGAGACAGAGTTAAAGAATTCCTGCTCCCTAACGGAACCTTCCTTGACACTAATTCAACTCAGTCAAGAGTTTATTACGAATTTGGACAAAAATGTAAGCTAATACCCTGTATATCTTGCACCAAATATATTTTTGATAAAGATCCGATATAATGCGCGCTGTCATTGGTTGAAAGAGGGTGTTTTATCAGAGTAAAAAAACACTGAGCTGAGTTAAAGCTTTCACGTGACGCGGAGGCATTACTTCAACACGTGCACTGTTTGACATGGTCGTGGTAGCCTCGATGAATTCCTTATTGTCAAAATCCAAGATATTTTGAAGTCGAGGTTATGTAATTTGATCGCATTTCCCCGCCATAAAATGGTTTTACCTCAGCATTTAGGTAAAAACACATTTAGTCATTACCAATATGTTTGTGAACTTTTTTGTGCCCTTTGCTATTTCATACCTCTAACCTTCATGCATAAAATGAAAAAATGCACTCCGCTCAACGTTCATATAAAGTGCGACCCAAAAATGTGCGGAGGACTTGCAAAAATTTAAATTTAATGCTTTGTTGATCATCGTTACCGTAATATTATCCCCACAGGGGTAACAACTGAAGAGGACTCATTATTCACATACGATTATGGTGAAAATCATTCGTCTTTCGTCGATGTGGGGTACGAACCGATATTTTTGGATCAGGATTTGGTGTTTGATAACGTAATCCTTGGTCAGCAGGCTCGAATCGTTTGCGGTGATAGCAGGCAATGCCTGTTTGATATTTACAATACTGGAAAGGTCAGCATTGGGATGAATTCTAAGAAGTCCTTGGAATCGTTTGTTGCTGTCGTAAATGAAATAGAGACCCCAGGTCAGTGGCTCCTTTGAAAGTGTAAATATTTTGACGAATGATATATGAAAAGGATTGCTGAAAACAAGGGAGGATGCACCTTTTCTTGCTGAAAAATTTCAAAAAGGCGTATTTTACAACTCAATGCTACCAAATCCCTTCTAGTTCTGTTATAGATTACAAAAACTTCGGAATCGGTAAATATGTTTACTTTCACATTCAGTTTCCAAAACAGATGTCTTTAGATCAGTAGACTACTGAATGATTAAATTTTAGTGATGATCTAGAAGTTACCGGATTGTCAGTGGCTTGCTGTGAACTCATTGCATTTCATTTTAGGAATAATTATTCATGCCGTTACATTGCATGGCATGAAAAAATTATCTCGCGTCGGGCGAGATGGTGGCATGTGATCAATGACCGGCAAATATGAGATCAAAAGGCTTTTTGAGAGAGGTGAACACCGAGAAAACGAATACATGATTCTTAACGCCTCAATTTAAAAGTGCATAGAAGAAAAATGATCATTTACCGCATTTTAAGATTCTAAAAAAGAAATCCAATAGCAGAAGAGTTGTCCTCCAATGTGCTAAGAATTCGACGCCGTACGCATCCTTTCAGAAACTATTTATTAGCCTGACCGCACACGCAGCCGACCAGTTGCGACTCAGACATGCTTACTACGAAAACCCTTTTTTGATTCAGAAGGCCATGAAGTGTAAAAAAGAGGAGTGTTTCAGGTCAGCGGCCGGGTTGTAGAGCAGGTTAAGATAAAGAGGGGCGTCGTCTGCAGTGGAATTTTCAGCAGACTTGTACACAACTTTTGAATGGTTTTGACACTCTTCGAATTCAAAACATACATTCACTGAGTTCATATCTGTCTTTTAACTGTCTTCTGGAACACCTTATCACAGAGCAGTTCTAACGTGCACCTCTTCATCTGTTCGAAGTTCACATGATGATTCGTGAGAGCAAATTTCAAATGAAAATTGGAAGCCTTGACAGTAACGTATAGAGTTCAATGCAATGAAACGATTTTAAAGATGGAGCGCTGGAGTTCAGGCTCAGCGCCACAGAAATTTCATGGTCTCAGGGCTCTAAGGTTATTTATTGTTACCACAGACTATGGAATGGCACTGAATCGAGGGTGAGCCAAAAGGTAAGTATCAGACAAAACTAAGCAAAAGCAGGGGAACAAAATATTTAACTGCGCCCTCTTTCTATGTGTCGACATTTCAAATGATCCGTTGGACTTTCGTGCCTACGGATTTCAAGTACTCTGTCTTCCTTGACAAATCAAGAGCTAACCGGGATGAAATTCTTGCAGGCTGCATACCAATGGAGAATGAGCTTCGCAACGGTTCAGCACAAAGAAACGATTCTAAAGATGGAGCCATGGTATTCAGGTTCTCCTGTGACACAGGTTTCAGTCTCATAGGCCCGACAGAAATTAGTTGTTACCGAGGGCAGTGGAATGGCTCTAAACCAAGCTGTCAACCATCAGGTGAGCTTTGTAGAAACCAAGCCATAGTGGAGAAGAGAACACTATGAATGCTGCGACTGCTGAAACGAACATAAGGAAATGAAAACATGAACATCACTGATTAACTTGATTTTAAAAGGTTTATCAAAACACTTTCTCCCAATTGTCAATTTTATATTGAAATTCTTTCAGGCTGTATATCAATCGAGAACGAGCTTCGCAATGGTTCAATGCAAATAAACAATTCCAAAGACGGAGCCATGTTATTCAGGTTCTCCTGTGACACAGGTTTCAGTCTCATAGGCCCTACAGCTATTCGTTGTTACCGCGGTCAGTGGAATGGCTCTAAACCAAGATGTCAACCATCAGGTGAGCTTTGTAGAAACCAAGCCAATAGCGGAGAAGAGAACACTATGAATGCTGCGACTGCTGAAACGAACACAAAGAAATTAAAATATGAATATCACTGATTAATTTGATTTTAAAAAAGGTTTATCAAAACACTTTCTTCCAAATGCCAACTTTGCATTGAAATTCTTTTAGGCTGTATATCAATCAAGAACAAGCTTCGCAATGGTTCAATGCAAATAAACGATTCCAGAGATGGAGCCATGTTATTCAGGTTCTCCTGTGACACAGGTTTCAGTCTCATAGGCCCGACAGTCATTAGTTGTTACCAAGGACAGTGGAATGGCTCTAAACCAAGCTGTCAACCATCAGGTGAGCTTTGTAGAAACCAAGCCAATAGTAGTGGAGAAGAGAACACTATGAATGCTGCGACTGCTGAAACGAACA